GTCAATAAAGGGATTAATGTGCTCAGAAAATGAACATGGGGAAGGAAAGAGCATGTCATCTTTATTTCCCACACCTATTGTCCTGTTCTACCTTTACTCCAATATTAGATTCTATCTTTTTATTAGCTAAAGATTCATTAATTTCCTCTTCATCTGATGACGATGATGACACTTCAGAATTCATTAGTTCACTCGTGCCGTTATTCATCGATGGAGATTTTTGCTCGCTCTTTATATTTTTGGGAAATACTTCCTTGTCAATATCATTATCATTATTACTGTCATCATCAGATTCATCTGTAGGTTCCTCTTCTTCAGATTCAGAATCCTCCTCAGAGTCTTCTTTGCTTTTTGCTTCGTTATTAGAAACTGATGGTTGATCGATTTTCATAGTATCTTTTGTTTGATTTTTAGAAACTGACAGTTGATCAGTTTTCATTGTGTCTTCGTCTTCACTAGAACTATCATCACTTTCTTCATGATTAAAATTCTTATCAACTTTATTATTCACAGATCCAATGTTCATACTGTCTTCATCACTTGTATTATCGTCGTCATCATCATCTTCTTCTTTTTCTTCGTCGTCATCGTCGTCATCGTCATCGTCATCGTCGTCGTCGTCGCTGCTATCTTCAATTGAATTTTTTTTGACCTCATTATTCGGGGATTTGACTTTTATTGTGTCATTTTTTTTTTCTTCCTCTTTTTTCTCACTTGAACCTTTTACATTAACAGCGTCGTTTTTTGCAATAGATGCTTCCTTGTTAGAAGATTCATTGCTAGCGCCACACAAATTTAATGTCAATAAAGCCATCCCAGAAAAACAGAAAAGGATCTCTAATAGTCATGATACGTACTCAGAAGAACTGTCCTCATTGCTGCTGCTCTCTGACTCTGTTTTTGAGCTGGATGATTTTTCGGAATTCCTAGAAACCATTTATAGGTGAAATTAAAGCAAGTGAGACCAATTCATTACTGCAGAACTCGTTTCTATATTGCTTACTTTTGAGACTCGTAGAGTTTATAAATATCAAATAGTTTATCTTGTGTTGTTTTAACCTATCAAAAAAGAGTTGGTTATAATAAATTCTCGAAGAATATTCTGTTGAATTTAGCTCGAACCTTCGCAGCTGATTCCTTCTCAAACATTCGTAAGGTACTTTTTAATCCAGCATCAGCTAAAAAGCCATGCACCAAGCTATAAAGCTCTTCAGGAATGGAATTTTGCGAATTCGAGTTCATGTTGCGAACAAAAGGGGATCGAAAAAAATTCGTGTAAACATTTAAAAAAAAGTTTTTTTTGTTGATTGGTCGAGTGAAATCAATTTTGATCAACTCAATCAAGATGTTCTGTGAAACGATAATGTCGAAAGCGAATTTATATGCCTTCGGTTCCAATGGTAATGGACAATTAGGTGTGGGAAATAAAGATGACATGCTCTTTCCTTCCCCATGTTCATTTTCTGAGCACATTAATCCCTTTATTGAC